CACCACATTTCCGAAACAACCAATCAAAAGTTTATCGCTACTAGGCTTGTAAACAGAGAGCTGCTGGGCCTCAAAGTTTGGAGACGGGGGGAGCCAGGAAGCACTTTATAAATAGTCAAACCATTGGAAACTCATACAAGGAGATAAAACAGACGTTTTACATGGTGAAATGTGACTGATGAAAACTTAGGAGCTTAATCCCACACCAGTTTGACCATGAATGTCGGGTGACGAGTCTGACTTTTTTTTTTCACATTGGACTTCACCGAGAAGAAATCCCGTGCATACTGCTGCTTAAATGTTCACTACGTCAGAACTTATTCGGCAAATGTGTTTCCATCTCTGCTTTTGCACATTTACTCTTACAGGAAACTGGGGGAAATTGGTCTTGGTGAAGGTTTGCACTCTCCGAGTGCTTCTAGTTACAGTTGTTACAAGTTTCTGATCACTTATAAAACATGTTTAAAGCGTTGCCCATTGTGTTGGATTGGCAATGCAACCCTCTTCTCCCACTCTTCACACACTGATAGCAACAACGCAGAAGAACAGTTAGAACAGGGTTCCAGTATCCAATGTTTACAGCCATTGGGAGTCAGATCGGAAGACCTTGGGGGCTATTAAACTGGCCCACGACAACCAAACCACTTTCCAGGAAACGGTTCATCTAGGAACGTTCGGACCTGACACCCATAAAGTGGTGGTGCACCACCTTGCTGGAAAAACTCAGGGAACGTGCCATCTTCAGTGCATAAAGAGGGAAACCCATCATAGTGTAGTAATTTCACACATCCAGTGGTCTTGAGGTTTTCATTGATGAAGAACGGCCCCACTATCTTTGTACCCCATATACCACACCATACCATCAATGTTTGTTTTCCAACAATCTTAAGGGATCTAACCAATGTGGGTTAGTGTCAGCCCAATTTATTTAGGTGTATCCATATAAATGACGCACCCTGTAGTTCTTTAAAAGGAAACTACATTTAAAGTTGGGTTTTGTTTGTTAACTTCACCATTCACATAAAAGTTTGCCTCATCACTGAACAAAACCAAGGGTCCTCTTCCAATTTTTGTTTTTGCCCATTCTGCAAATTCAGTGCGCCGATCTGGGTCATCCTCTTTGAGATGTTGCAGCAGCCGGAGTTTGTGAGGGTGCCATTAGTGAGTAGCTAATATCCACCAAAGGGATGTTGGACTGATGCCACTGTCCAGTGACATGTGGTGAGTGCTACGCTGTGGGCTCTTGCTGAATGAAGCTAGGACAGCCACTGATGTTTCTTCATTAGTGACAGTTTTCATGCGTCCACATTTTGGCAAATCCAACACTGAACCAGTTTCACAAAACTTGGCAAGCAGTTTGCTAACTGTAGCATGAGAGATGGGTGGTCTCGTAGGGTGTCTTGCATTGAAATCTGCTGCAATCAGGTAATATTAAATATTTGGGTATTAATGTTTCTCATAGATTGGAAGACTTAATAAAATTAAACCAYATCCCGCTTTTAAAGAAAATTGACGATGATCTAACTAGATGGAAATCTTTACCCATATCACTTAAAGGAAGAGTTGCTTCAATTAAAATGATGGTATTACCCAGAATAAATTATTTATTCTCAATGATACCAAATAAACCTTCACCTGACTGGTTTAGATTCCTGGATTCTTTCATCTCTAAATTCCTTTGGAAAAATAACCCCCCCACATATTAGTCTAAAAACACTACAGAAAACTAAAGATAAGGGAGGACTAGA